GGGAGGGGGGAGAATGTTTCAAATGCAACTTATCACATTTGTATAACCAATGCAACTCAATCAATTAAGATATTTATGAAAATTATAAAAGTTTATTTATTATGATTTGAATGTTTATGAAAGATGACTATTCATTAATTATGATCAATATTTTATATCATGAAACAATCAAAACTTTTATTAAATCACATATTCATCAAATTAAATGGACGGTTGAAATTGAGTTGTATTAATTGTACAAATGTAAAGGGTTGCATAATCATTTGTTAACCAAGTAAAGTATGTTAACTTTACGAACTCATTTGAGCAGTTCATTTTTTTTTATTTTTGATAAACGGTTATAGTTAAATAAAAGGTTATAAAACGATAACCACTCTCCCATCTCTCTGACTTGAACTGCTCCATAAAATTTTCTTTAATATTGGTTTTTACTTTTGAAAGATAATCATGTTCTACATAATGTTGTTTCATGAACTTTGATATGTGTCTAATAGGTGAAACAATGATTTTTACCTAACATTGTAATGTTGTTTCGTGTAAGAAAAGTGGTTTGTTCCACCCAAAGTTGGTCGAATGTGATAACTAAGAAAGTTTAGACAAAATAAATGAGATAAATAAGATGATTGAAATATGGTCTCAACATATAAAAACGCTGGTTTAATTAGAGTTTATAGTAATTAGGTGGTTGAGGTCTATGACATTAAAGGTACTTTATAATTATGAATGGGTTGATCCATTAAAAGATGATTCATAATGACCAGGAGGATAAAAACACTTGACAAATGCTTCATCCTTCATGGAAGAACACTCGCTATAAACACACATAATTTTGCACTTATGATCGGAAAAATGGAAGAATGAAAAACAAGCAACAATTCCTACGACACGTTCATGGATTCCAATCCCAAGAATAGAAACGATACAAGTATGAGGCCGTCTTACGTATACAAACCAAAAGAACGAAATAACAAACACACAACCTACAAAATTACCAGACCAATATTTCTCATGCTGTCATATCTACAAAACATGTGTTGTCGCACCAACTCTACAAAACATACCATTCATATCAGCTCCATACCCATCCCAACAACAATCAATTTCATTTCCTTTAACTAATCAAATCTAAAATCTATAACCAGAACCAGGTGGTGCTGGCGGCAGCCGATTTGGAGTGCGCCGACTGCCGGAGTTCGATCCAGAACCTGACCCAACATCACCATTCTGGCTAGGGTCACTGTTCCTGCGGCTATGACCATTCGACCCAAACCTAGACCCCAGGTCTGAAGGGCCATTGGCAGCAGCAGCATCAAAGGCAGATCGCCAGTCATCACCTGATGATTGTCCACTACTTCTTGGACTCTCTGTTGATGTCCAATATTCATTAGATTTTGGATGAATAAATAAATAACACAAGTTTTTAGTTAAATATTATTACCTGCAGGACTACTACCATTTGACATGTTGGAGGCTGCAGCTGCTCGATTGTCATGAACGCTCAGTTGCCTGGTGAGTTTAGAGAGCAGGGAAGATTGCTTTTGAACCTTTTCCCTTTTACGCTTAACGTTACCATCCTCTTGAAGCAGCTCTTCAATCCTTCCCGTACTCTGAGAACTTTTGACCAAAGATATAAGTAAGCAACAAGGACTTCATTTCACTTCACCAACTCTACAATCACAAACACAATTCCTTCAAAGAAACCGAATCAAATTGAGCAGCTTACCTTACAGAACTATACAACTTATTCAGCATGTCTTCCTTAGCTTTTTCTACTTGGCAAAGAACAACCGCCTGCACATGGAAACCAAACAAATGAAAATCTAAAACTAGCCGCAAGATGGATCAGATGAGGTTGAGAGGATAAATACCTTTGGAACATTTGCTGCAAGGCTGTTCAAAACAGCTTCGACATAACCACGTACTTCCTGAGCCATCCAACGAAGTTCTTCCTCTGGATCTGCAGGTTTCCTGACCATCGTATCCTAAAATTTCACAAGTTAAGAGATCAACAACCAGATAACACAATTGAACAATACTACCTATGACCAGCTTATGGTTTCTCAAATAAAACCAAAAACCAACTTTTTGGAAAACTACGAAAATTATTGACATACATGTACACCTCTAAATGATTTAAGGAAAGTGTTAATAACAAACAATTCTCAGCAACTCACAAGGGAACCATCTGATTGACTATGCCTAATGGGAAGACCATCTGCCTTCATAATCACTTGACCTCCTTTAGCACCAACTACAGTTTTCAGTTTGTTTAACCACTCGGCCTTTTCTGCAGCATTCTCAGCCTTTAAAACAACAGCACTGTGAGCTGTCGAATCATTTAAACTTCAGGTTAGCATTGATATGCATCTTCAGAGGAAAAGCTATTGAACAAACAAAAACTAATGTGTCCAACTGGCTACAGATCACCTTTTAAGACTGTCTTGTATGCAACCTTGCTTGTTATCTTGAATGCCAGACTGGGTGCTTTTTCTTCCACCTTTGACTTTTTATCCTTTGAACTTTTAGGTGGGGGTTGTTCCTCCTCTTCAATTTCTTCAATATTGCATTCCTGAAAAATTCATCCATTAGGGACACTTTCAAAATTTACTCCCTATGGAACTTGAGATTCATCTGTGAACAGTTTTCTAAAATATATAATGAAATTAAATTCTCTTATATTTGTTCATGCCAAATGCCAGATGCCAGATAATTACTTCACAAGCCAGTCTTGTCTCTATTAGTTACATTTCATTGTGCAGCCAAAATTTGCATACTAGTTTTTATCTTAAGAGTTTTGGGTGAGGGTTGGGGTGCTTGCTTTTTTCTCCTCCAGAAGTTCTACTACCCTGTTTCATTTTTTCGTAGAACTTTTTCCCACATCTAGTATTCTATAACTTCTGTAATGGCCACTGCAGGCTGCAGCAAGTTAAATTTGAATATACAAAACATTATTTACACTTGGATTTTCTCCCCAAAAAAGTTCAGCACAAAATTATGATTGAAAATAATTTGGACTCATTCTCGTAGAATCGAGAATGAAGTTTTCATTCTGTACATGCAGATCATGAATTAGTAACTGCATCCAATTTCTAATTTCACTCTTAATGAACAAGCTAGTGAGCAATCTAACACTTAAAAAGTAAGGAAACCGACCACATAGGTCCAGATTAAGAACAAACTAAGTACAGCCTATAGATCACCCAATACACTTATAAACTAACAGTAGTGAAGAATCTGTCAATCTTTTGGTTATCTTGGTATTCAAATGTCATTAACAATGACCAGAAAGTTCCTTAGCGAGTTGGCATGCCTCTTATAAAAGGGGGAGGCTTCCCTCATCTGTAGCATCCACAGTTAGAGTTCAAAAGGGTATACAGAACAAACCCTATTTACATTTATATGTTCTTCTGTTCTACATACCTAAAAGCTCTTCACCTTTTCCTATTTTTTGTTAAGTTCCCTCATAAGCATATCCCAGCTAGTTTCTTCTTCTACCTTCTTCACAAAGGTTAGCACTCCAGAGAGATGGTAAAAAAACCATGAAAGTTTTAAAATATGAAGGGATATTGTGTTCTGAAGCACTAATATCCATTGTCTTCATATTTGACCTTTTTTCGTATGTTCAGCTATTGAATCCATATAGAATAACGATGACAAGCCTCTCAAAATATGAAGGCCTAATGAACATGAATGCCAACACATACCTCCAAAGTGATCACGCCACGGAAATTTCTCTCCTCTTGCTTTTTAGTGTATCCAAGCTGCATAAAAAGATCCAAACCAACAGATTTACACATGGTACAGCAAGTTTATGATATTCACCAACAAGAACATACACTATAGCCTACAAAAACATGATTAAAAAGCCAGCTCGTCGACCCATTGACTTGCTGATCCACTTCACATTGGTGTTAGAATTACAAATTGCAGTTTGTTTGAAATTAAATGTACAATAGTAAAACACCAAAATAAGAATTTATGATTAGAAGTAGTGCAATTGATTCATTTTCTTAAAGACAGGCCCAATATAATTGTACAGGGGAGTTATAGCATCTCAACCAGCAACTAAATATCTGATCATAAAATTTTGAACATCCATGTCCATTTTCATTCTTTTATAAAGTACATACACCATAACACTTGAGAAACTAAAGAGATACACAGAAGTTCAATACTTCCACCTCGTATATGAACTTCCTGCAATGTTACTAACCTTCCCAGTTTTCTCATTTAAAACAAACCACTTTCGACTCCATCCATTAGATTTTGCACTTTTCTTCAATAAATATCCTGCCCAAAAACAATAGAAGTTATAGCTACTTCTTTAGTGCAAGTAACTGGGTGTGTCCAATAATTTTTCAAAGAGAACCAAAGGCGCACATCCGAGAAAAATTATAAAAATAGGATTTCTGGTCATTTTTCTAAACATCTTTACCTGAATTCCATACTGATACTAAAAGCAAAGGTAACATGAGGAGATCAATCACAAAGAAACCAAAAGCAGATACAAATACTATTAAAGGGAAAAAAATGCATCCAGTATATGCTACTATCATCCTGCAGGGTTCGATAAAGAAGGATCAAGTATATATAAAAATGAAACCAAGTGAATTTGTGGTCAATATAACTTCACATCAAATGTCATGAATTCTAAGATGATGTATCATCTTCCCAAGATTAAATATAAATAGGTTTGGATCACAAAAAATACAAGCTCTGTGATAAAGATCTCACCTAAAACTCATGAAAACATAATTCTTTGTATTGGTGTCATTTGACCCAATAAATAAGTGAAAAAAAATATTTTAAAAAAAGCCATCAAGTCATGAATATCACACAATCACCAGCGTTAACATTGTGATGACACCGGAAAGTCAAAGGTTGAATTCAAAGGGAACCAAACGTTTCTCGCTAATCGACTGCTTACAAATGGGGTTTTCAGGCTTCGAGAGGCCAGAATCTCTCCACAGAACTCACACCCTAAAAGTGTTTACAAAACCGAATGTTCTCCTACTAGACCCTCACGACTTATTTATACCTGGGCATATGCAGTACCTAAAACTCACCTAAAACTCATGAAAACATAATTCTTTGTATTGGTGACATTTGACCCAATAAATAAGTGAAAAAAAATATTTAAAAAAAAGCCATCAAGTCATGAATATCACACAATCWCCAGCGTTAACATTGTGATGACACCGGGAAAATCAAAGGTTGAATTCAAAGGGAACCAAACGTTTCTCGCTAATCGACTGCTTACAAAAGGGGTTTTCAGGCTTCGAGAGGCCAGAATCTCTCCACAGAACTCACACCCTAAAAGTGTTTACAAAACCGAATGTTCTCCTACTAGACCCTCACGACTTATTTATACCTGGGCATATGCAGTACCTACCTATACTCTAAAAGCAATAACTACTTGTACCACTACTAACATAGGGTATAACAATTACAGATACCATATAAAACAAGTAAAATGTTGAGGAATGTGTCAAAGCAAAAACCTGCTGTTATCTCTCCCTCAGGTCCTGCGGTCTTTAAAGCAGGCCCATCTTGTGTATCCTTGTCTTGCTTGTTATCCTTCATTGATTTCAAGTTGCCTCCTGTTAGAGGACTGGTTGCCTAAATAAAACACAAAAAGGTAAGACAAGCTAATAAGTGGGCAAAAACCCTCGAGGATAACCAAGAAAGAAAAGGTATCCCCGAGTACATCATACAAAAAAATTATTTTTTTGAAAAGTCAAGCATCCAACCAATGCAACAATTAACAAAAACATTATGTACCCTATTTAGCAAGGACTGTTCTGCATCCACGGCCTTCTTGGAAGATCTGGTTTTGATCTCTTCCTCTCGTCTCTGCCTATCCATCCTGTTAAGAATAAAAACAAGAGGTGTTCACCAATAGAGAAAACAGAAGAACTCCTTTTTATCCACAGCCATTAGTATGATGAGAAAGAACACAATAAACAATTCGAAGCAGGTACATTTTCCATCTCTGAAACTTACAAATTCTTCTGAAAAAAGAATTGCTCCTAAAGGTGATGAATCAATGACAAGTACTAACCATTAAACATTCTATAGTATCTAGTCACATATTGCTCTATAAACAGTATTTGTGGAAAATAATACCTTTGAAAGTCGTGATGTAGGATTTCCACTTGAATAGATATTCAGATTAATAGACTGGAGCCATGGGAGGGTTTCATATTTCCCATCTCTATGTAGTAAAAATTTTAGACTTAGGAACAAGTAATCACAGATACTATGCAGGCCAGGCTTATACATGGTAGCACCATGAAGTGGATCCAATAGGGCAAGTTTCTTTACCAGGAGAACTTCATGTACCAAGATTTTCTCATAACTCCCATGGATGATACTTGACTTTTTAACAATATGGAAGTGTAAGACACCTCATCAAATGTACAGATTCACAAGGCCCAGGCCTTGCACGTCCGGCTTTTCAGAAAGGAAAAATCCTAGGCCTTTTTGGGCCTGGTCTCAGGCTTGGGGGTTGAAGGAGAGCCCCTTTAACCGGGTCTTTAAAAATAAGTTGGCCTGATTGGACTTTAAGGCTGTGCCTGGGATCAGGCTAACTAGACCCAGGCTTCAGGCTTGAGCTTTTTGTGCATCTCTGCTCGCATTTAACAGAGTATGTATACTCAAAACTCCTACTACAAAACAAATAAGCCTTCTCTCCACAAAACTGTCTTATATTCTGTTACTTGACAAAATCTGCAATTTTAGGTGCTACTCTTCAGAATATAACAAGTTGATTGTCTTGTGTAAGTAATAGGACACACAATGCAAGTAATGGAGAACAGAGGTAAATGCTATAAAGCAAATAGCAAATTACATTTTGACAGCTTTTATAGTGAATACGAACTATTATTTACATTTTGGAGAAAAAGCTTAAACAACACTTCTTCAATTAGGTGAAAATGACGTTTGTGAGAAGAAATTTGTGGAAGAAAAAGGTGAAGAACTGCTGCTGAGGTTTTAGGCAACATTACAAAATGAAAAGGAAAAAAGAAAAGATTTAGAGATAGCTTAAAAAGTTGAAAACTCGAAAGGCTCAGTTAATATGGATGGAGAGAACAGAAATTGAAAAAGCTAAAAGAAGTAAAGATACGTGGTAAGAAACGGAACTTGAATTAACTACTACCTTTACAACCCTAAACAAAAGGAGTGGAGTTTAAAAAGAACAGAACTAAAACAAGGTCATGTAAAATATGTGTTTATACTGAAAATACAAAAAGAATACAAACAATCTAGGTTCATTCAAATTGTTAACAGTTAAGACCTATCAAAGGTCTGTAACAAGATAACATATGCTACACTCGCTGTCCAGAAATTGGAAATACCTTCTCTGGACCAAACGGATGAAGTGCTGGGGTGGAACAAACACTCGCTCCATATCAACAAGTGCAACCACCATCTTCTTTGCATCATTCTTAAAACCCTCCAAGGCGGTAGTAGCAATTGCCACAACCTAGTTAAACGGTAGAACAACATAATGGTCAGACCAAGTACTGAAAATAAAAGGCAAACAGCTGTTATTATATAAAACAACTTGCAGGAATTATATATAAGTACCTCTCTCTTAAAAGGAGGATATCTTCCAAGCCCAGGTGTGGCATTTGCTGATGCTGAAACTATATCCACAAGCACACGATGAACCTGCATTCGATAAAAACTAATTACATAGCGGTACATATATAGTTATGGGAAAAAGAGCAAAAGCACAAGATGGTGCATTATAATTATACACACACATGCACATATCTTTATCACAGAGAAATCAGGCATCTATTTGTCTACACGTTTAATCAACTATGCATGTGAAGGAAGGCCAATAACACAGATGGGATCAATATGTTTTAGGATCTGAGAAGGAACTCAAAAATTGGAACCTAACTAGTAGCAGAAAGAAAATGGCACCAAACCAACAGGTAAAGTTTTCTTTCTTCATATGCAAATGTGTGGGGAATGTTTTACTTTATTTCTTCTAATCATTAAATGTATTAATGAACTCCGATATATATTATACAGAGGTAAGGAATTATCATTAAAGAAACTCCAATATATATAATACAGAGCCATGATGTTCCTCAAACACCTATTTTCAGCTTTTCATATCACCATTAGCTAGCAATCGCATTATAGATTTGGAAACATAGGAAACACAAAGGCAAGGAACAAACTCAAGATAGCAGTTGAAACTTGTTAGCTAAATGGTAGAGGAGAATTGCTGTTAAACAATCTGTAGTATTACCTCATCAACACAAAGACGTGATGGCTCTTTGGCCAGCTCTAATACACCCTTTATTAAAGACCGCAGTCCTTTTTCTGGAGATATAAGATAAGGTTGGTAACCATCTGCCTCTAGCACAATCTGATACCAATTCCATGGTCATCATAGAGCGATAGGTGATAACTGAATGAATTAAAAGTAAAAGGAGAATTATACCCTCTTGACGTTATTTATATCGAAATGTCTGTCTAGAGGAAGCTGCTTGATCCTATTTGGAAAGTTACCCTCAAAACTTGCCACAACTTTCCAGCCACTACCCTGAAAACGTCATTAAGTTTTGACATGGTTATATAACGAATATGAACAAACAAGCACTGCAGCATACCCTTGATCCTCCAAGCGTAATTAGCATAATATTAAAATGACTCAGATCCTTACGACAATGGAACTTTAAGTAAAACAGTAATCAATATTGTAAAGAGAATTTTCGAAGAGATAACATGAGAGAACGAAGAGTGGGAGGCTATAGTAACCCGACTAATAATGCAGAAACCTCAAACAAGTAAAAGAGTGCACCCACATAGTTTGTGGTAGGGATTTGAGATATCTTCTATAGAACACTATCTCTAGATCCCAAAACCGCAGATCATGTCACTGAATAATAGGGATGCACATGGACAGTTCATCATAAAACCCTACCAACATCAAGTTCAAATTGTTTCAAGACCAGTTAGGTCAAAAGATCATATGTAACTACCATTTGGCATAGAAAGATTCCACGTTCAGAATCCGCCACATGTACAATTTAACCAGCAAAGACCACTTTAACATGATTTTATTTGCGTTAATCACCCTTACCACTAGCCAAAATAAAATTACTCATCTCAGAAGATAACATCCTTTCTGTGCTAAATCATCCTCTGAACATTTGAAGACATAAAGAACAGAAAAGACTCAGGTACAAAAATATCCTATGAGCGCTACATTTTAAACACACAAGAGTTAAGCAACAAGACTAGTCTCCAAGGTGAATGGACGCTACCACGAAGATGGTAAAACCCCTTCTTAGTTTGCAAAGGATCCAATACTATATTGTTTATATGTTGTGACATTATGGTACCAAGACCCTCCCCCCCCCCCCCAAAAAAAAAGGAAAAAACAGTAGAATAAAGGTAAAAGAAATGACTTATACTATGCTGGGCGTCCATCAAGGATGTTATTTCCCGAGAGGATCCGTGGAAACAAACCATCAAAACAAGCCTCCGTGTTTTCTTAAAAATCATATACGCCAAAGGGTACCCTTCGATATTTCTTTTACGTTAGTATTTTTAGATAGTAGTCAACAGTGTTTTTTTGCCAATCACTTTATTAAGTAGAGATTCAAAACCCTAAAAATGCTCGAATGGGCGGTGTTGGACATGACACAAATCATGTCCTCTATAGAACATCTTGTCAGGTTGGTGTGGGACTGGAACAGGAAAGAATCAAAGCTGCATCAGAGGTCAACTTCACAGAAAATCATTTTAATTGTAAATACTGCATAGTTATTGTCATGTCTTGAATAATTCACTCCTAGATCTTGATTATAAATTATCACCTCTCCAGTCATAATGTGTTGAAGAAATTTGTCCTCAAATTCGCGGCAAAGTTCCAAAGCCAATGCCCTTGTACCTTCAGAACTACTAACCATTGATTCTCCGAGCCTTACCAACTCATCTTGCACAATCTGAGATTTACCCTGAAGCCTGCAGGAGTTTTAGACAAAAACTGACTTCAAGGCCCAATAGGAATGAACAAAACGCTGTATGTAGAGATAAAAGGCGGCTTTTGCTAATTATTATGTCCATATCAAATTACTAAGGCAACCAAAAAATACAACAAAGAGAAAGTATTGCATCTGTAACAGAAAATCTTTTTCTAAATTCTGTTAAGTCCAACTTACTTGAAGCGCCAAAAGAACTTACATGGAAGCAAATCAATTCTTTTACTGTGTTACTTCAACTTCTTCACATAGCGCAAATGTAAAGTAAATTCCACTTATGTCCCACTTGTTTTGTGGGATTTGATTGGATTTGGAATTGAATTACATTCCAATTCTATGTTTGGTTTGAAGAAATCCTTGGATTTGAAATCCCACAAACATGGGATTTAGGAATCCCATGGGGGTTGTTGGTATTTTGCAGGATTTCATAGTATCTGCTTGTAATCATGTTTAAAATATCTTTAAGACACTTGTTTTGTAATAATTAATTCATAAAAAGGTAATTTAATTATTTTTATAATTTTTTATTCCAAATCCTACAACCCAAACACACCAAAGGTTCCAAATCCTTCAACAAAATCCAGATCCCTTGAATACATTCCGTCAAACCAAACAGGCCCTTATTGTTTCAAAAGGGAACGTTCCACAGAGTCCAACACGAACTTAAGAGCGATAACTAGAAACACAAAGCTGGCTAGCTCGATTCTTATTGATGACAAATTGAACTCTCTAATCAAGAATCCAAGCAAATGCACCACCAACTGAATTGAACAGCCACCCAATAGGGTCTACCTCAGAAAGACACAAAATTACTCTCCCTCCACATTTTCCCCTACTTCAAACCGATGATCAATCCGGAAACAAATATAAAAAAATTAATTGCCTATCCAATATGGTGCTTACGTTTTTTTTGGGAGGGGGGTAACAAAACATGTACCGATTACTAAAACCTCCTTTATATTAGGCACACTTTTCTCTTGTGGTATTCCACCCCTTTTTTGTTCCAAAGACAAGAACAATGACTGATCATTGTTGTTTGATAAGCCTGCATTATGCATGGAAACATCCTCTTTTTTAGGTGCCACTATATATAAACAAACGGCTGTTCCACTTTATGGCAACTGATTCTTAAACTTCCAACCCACACATCCAAGTTTCAGTGACCCTTAGAGTCACACTACGCAATAACGCACGTCTCTTTTTGGGGTTTGGTGTTTAGTACACACACATTGTGTTAATGAGGAGCGAAATTCATTTCACATGATTTTTTAATTACTTGATCATATTACATGATAGAATGTTGAAAGTTTTTACTTGCTTGGTTACTAGATATATTAATTTTCTTTGACAATACCTGGTAAATACCTAGTGACCCCAGCACCCAAGATCTTGGCCCCCTCCCTTGACTTTGTTCAATGCCAATTGAGATAACTTAGAACAACAGAAAGAAGGAAAGAGAGAGAGATATAGTGAAAAATACAGTTAAGTAATTGCCTAGAAACAAGTCTAGAGTTTTTGATGTCGAGATGGACAAAAACACAATACATTTTCTCCAAAACGTGGCACCTCCTGCAGCACCAGCTCTCTTTGCCTCAAAAGATGACAGAGCATCACAAGAACAAAGCAAAGATGACAGAGCATCACAAAAACAAACCATGCCTTTTTGGCCAAGGTGAATCACAATGTTCGGGACCCCAAGCCATTTCTTAATTTCCACTAGGGAAGGACCAAAAATCCCTAAACCATCAAGAGGAAAACAAATAAAAAGGACAATTGATGAAGCCCAATTATAGCTCCTTCAGGTGCACGCCATACACAAGCACTAAGCTGATCTCTCATCCAATATCGAGCACTTCCTCAACTTCATTTCCGGCCTATCTCTTATTGACTTCTACTAGCACATTCTTTATCTTAGGTTTTCTAATCTCTCATCCGTTTAAAAAATGCTTAAGAGAACAGAATCTAGTTGAATCCATCACGTGACTTGGGTAAAATTACTGGCAACTTTTTGGGTTTGGTATCCAAGTAATAAAATCCATGTGTATCTTGTGTCGCATGAACATATTTCTGGCTTGCATGTCATCAATTGTGGCTGTGCTGAAAGGTCAACTATGCAGGAAACCCTAATAAAGAGTGAAAAACAATATTGAAGAAAAGTGATCTTACCCTGATAAAAGGCTCGGAAGCCTTATCTTCATACGGCTACGGATTTGATGAGCTAGTGTCTCAACCAAAGCTAATCTACCAAGCTTGCTCTGTGGAGCTCCCGTCAATATAGATTTCAAACTTTCACTTTCAGCTCGCCAAGCAGTTTCTAACGAGTTATCAGATCCCACGTTTCCTGACTGTGCTGAAGCAATGGAAACTGACTGACCAATTAGAGCAACCCATGGAATATCGGCTGCACTTCGTGGTCCTTGACCCAATAAAAGTGCTTGAGCAGCGGCAAGGACTTTGGGATCTGCAGATGCTTGGTCCAGTTTGCTAATAACACCAATAGTTCTTGTACCTAAATTAAAAAGACAAACATCAAAATCTTTGAACTATATAAGAAAAGATATTAGCAGGCCCATTTCAAAATCAAAATCAATAGTGAACGCACATTCTCCATCATATTCCTTTGCAATTCTAAGGCCTTTAGCAGATGCAACTTCGGGCGCCTGAGCAGCAGGTATTACAACCAACAGAATTGCATCATTATGCTGAGCATATTCACTCTGTAAGAAAAATAGGTTATTAGATCTTTTCCAAGAAAAATATTACAAAATAAATCATGAGCGTAGAAGATACTAAGAAAATACTGAAACAAAAAAATAATTGACAGTGACGCACCAATGAATCATCAAGATTCCCTTTTTCCACTCCAGGCAAATCAATCAATTTCAAAGGAGGAGCTACAAAAACAAAACAGGTAAGAGAACATAAAATGAAGACCAAGGAAGAACGTAGCAAGTAGCAACAATATAAAGCTAATGAAAGAAATGCAACAACTGAAGATCACAGAACCAAGTATTTAGATTCTCCACATTGTATCACCATACTAATGAATGCAAATGGCTGTAGACACTACATTTTAAGTAGCGACAGCATTATAGATATATTATGAAGGATAAGAAAGCACAACAAGATAAATGGCACTTTCTAGTTCATAGAAAAAGCTAAAGATGAATAAGTACTTAAAATGAACTGGAAAACAAGCAATTCTTAATGTGGAGAATACATATATAGTGGCTTATCCAAATCAACCATTTCCAACCAATGCTTAAAAATTACGACAAAAGCAAACACTGTTTAATGGCTAAGCAAGTAAGTCATTAAGCTCAGTAAGTTGATTAAGCAAATTCATACATGCCCACAGGTTTGTTCTTTGACAATTCCGTATTGTTGCTTAGCTTTGTTTAATTATATAAACAAGGGTAGCAATGCATGCATGTAGTGGATTGGGCTTTTGCAACTCATGTGTGAGCCGATTGAGATCTTGAACCAAAAACTACTGGAGCTCTGCACATGGATGCGCTGAGGAGGTCCTTCTATGTGTAGGTATATGGTGACCTAGCCCCGGGATCTTGATAGTCCACGGCACTGCATTAAAACCAGCTCATGTGTAAGCTGGCCTTAGTGTCAAGATCTTCAATTTGCCACATGGTAAGCTGGTTGTAATCCGTCGGGTGCAAGCATGCATCCGAACATGTTTTACCAGCCTTAAAAGTATCACCTTTAGCTAAATTCTGCTAAGATTTCTTTCCTATTCTCTCTCCAACTCATCCAAGGAACCTTAAGCTATAAGAAGAGGCTTTGCAGGTAACTCCGATAATGGGTTTCAACTTTCAAGATGTGTTTTAACTTCCAGTGAAAGATGGTGCACTGATTGATCTAACTATATGTACTTAACTACTTATCATGTGAAGTTAGCATGTTGTAGGTGTGAAAAAAGATGTTGAATCACATAAAACAGTGCCTCATATTTCTAATTGTACTCAGGTTGTACCTCGAGAAGATCAAAATTGCAAATCGGAGGAAGGAAACAATCTAAACCTGTTAGCAACCTCTTTTAGATTTATAGCAAAATCACTTCTATTGTTTCATCGTATGCTTAATTGTTAATCATGAACCGATTATTTTACTCACTCAAAACACTTCTTAGAAACACCAATGTTACCACTAGAAGCAAACTCACTAGCTAGAGCCAAATATAAGTGGGTTTTACAAATCTATGTTTTGTGCAACCTTGAATGCATTACTTCATCCTTCAACCATGAAGATGTATGAGTCCCTTCCACATAAGCATGAGAGCAAAGCATTTTATGATCTCTGATCCAGAGTTGGACCAATAAATCATAAAAATCATGATACCTAATATCGGTCCATTCAGCAACAACCAGCACGAAAATAAGATGCAAATTGGTCATTTGCCAAGCACACCTATACGATATAAACTACATACACATTCATACATGTACTGTGCAAATCCCTAAAATGCAACACAACAAATTTCTAAAACAAAATCAATGTTTTCTCCACACCATCAACATTGCAAGATTACTAGTAGACTTTTACCTACATTGAACAAGTCTCTAAAAAATAACACCTTAACTTGATAACTTTTATTTTTCAACATAATTTTAAAAATACAACTACTAATAAAATACAGGTTCCTAACCATTATAATTTCCAAATGAGATCCAAGATTTTAATTTTCAAAATACTATTTTCCAGAAAGAAAATTGATATCAATAAATCCTAAATAACAAGTAACGAAATGAATTAATTGATATCTCCATGAGTGTTATATTACGCATTCCAAAGCATTGTCATATTCTAACTTTTAAAAATGAATCTACATCAAAAATAAGAATTGAAAGAAAATAAAATACAAGTAGAACAGAATGCGACCAGAGAAAGAAATTGACAATAAAGAAACAAACTTCTATTTTTTTTTCATTTTTACTAATGTGTGTTTATCATGAGATTTGTACTACAGACTTTGTGTCATCAAAAGTTGAGTTGCCATTGGGACATGTAGTACAAGCATGTATGCATGTGTATTGTATGACACAAGTTTCATAAAACTATGAATATATCACTAAAATTTAAGTGTTATGCTTTGACAAAAAACAAGGATAAGTGTGTTATAGTTGTACTTGACAATTTGCAATAATGTGTTCCATCTTTTTAGTTAGGTCGAGCCTAATACAAAAAGTTGTTGGAAAATATCAATAATGAAAGGATTTGATCTGGATCATAAACCATTTTTAGATCATTCCAATCAAGAGTCAAATCATGATTTATTTCCCAATGGACTAGACGGTGATCAACTTATGTAAAGCATGGATAACATCAAATCATCAAGTAATTCTCAGTAGAAGATTTTATCATGAAGCAAAAATATCATTTATGACAAGATACTAAGGGTCAAAAAAAGCATAATATATTTAATATAATTTTACAAATGACAATACTATAGAATGACGTACATCACCAACAATCCTACATTTTTGTAGAGGTTACTACAGCATTAGATATTGACCACCAAAAAGCTATTTGGCTATTTCTTATAACTCAATCACCAAATTGACTAGCAAACAAATGCAAATGATAGCATTAGTTTCAAAAACTTAGAGAGAACATATCTGAACTAACCTGTGCTCGTTTTAAGTTTCAAATATATTTCATCGCGACTCTTGCTTGATATTTTACTAAGTCTGTCCTGTAAAGAATGCCGAAGAGCACCTACGATTGAAAAAAGATAGTCTCATGGGATCAGCATCATTGAGTGCCAATACATGAATTTCAAGAAAATATAATTCTTAAGGAACTCCTTTTGTTCTAAAACTGACGTCCATAAAGTAAGATATGAGGACGAGATATGAGGGCTCACTTGCAGACACTGGTTGGGATTTACTATCGATCTGCAGTACAATTGATTTGCTGCTTAAGTTTTCATCCCTCTTTAAGTCGATGCATATAGGCGCCCGAGTCGCACCACCTTCACCAGTCGGCTGTACAAATAAACATTAGTGCAAGTATATTTAAGCTTCCTGATTTACATTTCCATCATGAAAAATGAAGAAAGACTTCACACCTACTTTCATACAGGTAGTAATTCCGTAACACTAGATTCTTGACATATTATGATTTACGTCACATATAGTAACAGGGTAATACAGAAGTCTGAAAGAGAATACTAGGAAGTAAATTGAAAATAGAAGAATAAAGTTCTCACCAAAGCAGGATGTCCAATCAAACTGTTCAAAACTGCTGATTTACCTGCACCCTGAACAATTTTTGGTCCATAATTAGAAACTAGTCCAGACAAACTATCTGGAAGAATGAATTATAATGATAAGAAGCCAACAATAGAGAAGAGAAAATACAACTGATAAACAAACAAAACTCCATGAGCTTTAAAGCCTCATCCTTTTATGCTCTTCTTGGTGGAGCAAAAATAGGATTTTATCAGAATAATTTGGAACATATTCAGGAGAGCAAATGGAGCATTAAACCATCGTTAGACAAAAATAAAAGACTTGTATGTTGATCATGTGAAAGAAGATATAGTGCTTGAGTGCTTCTTGCTAGCAGTTTCAATATGGTCAAGAAAAGTTAAGAGCTAAACTGCTAAGCCTCAGTGCTCCAAAAAAAACATCTAGGGAATTGCATGAAAGAATAGCATACTCTAAGGAAAAAGACTGCTATAGAAAACAACAGCATGATGCCTTACAAAAGCCTTCATCCAACAATGGTTTCATATCATGATAAATGGTGATAGTGCAGTATGCAATAGCAACCAGCAACATAATTCCTCAAAGACAACCTAGCATCATTGGCAAGGCTTACAACAAAAAGCAAAGCACAGTTTTGCACTTCTGCTGCATCACCCCTCTTATGGGATTCTCAGCAACTCAAACCAATGGGGAAAATCATAACACCAACATCTTTTCAATTTTCATCAAACATTTTTCCTGGAAGTAAGATATATCAACTAACAACCAACCTCAATAAAATATCATATGATATAAATCATGGTGCAAGGTGGTTTATGCAAGAATAAACTATTCAACCAAGCAGAATGCCCATTCTGATTTATAAAATGATTATCGGATGATGAACCATCAATAGCTGAAATATACAGAACAAGTTCTTCAAAAAGACATGACAACATTATCAGGTTTTTGTGTTGCATTATATCCTTGCAAACTAAGTACGCTTACAAGATAGACATCAGCCTCCAGCGGAAATTTTCCGGTTAAGATAAATCACCACATGATTCATGAAGCATAATATTTTAAGAATGTTTAGCAACCACCAAACATACTTGGGTCTATGTCCTAGGCCATCAATGCATCCACTTAAAAATGCCTTGCATTAGCAGAAAATCTACTCCATAATTAACACAAAAATTAACTTCAATGGGTGTGTGGACATGTACCAACAGAAAATATAGCCGCACCAACTGGAATATCCAAAAACAGCTCCTAATTGGTTTCTCACAAGATAAACCAACTCCCAGAAGGGCTGACTGGAGCATCAAACAAATTATTCCAAGCTCAAGACAAACTTCGAACACTTGCCAACTGAGCATAACTTATTGAATTATAGTGTAAAATCTAGACTGTAATGCCAAATTAGGAGGTAGGTAAAAATATCTTTTCACAGTAATTACCGATCAAAATGCTAAAGAGAAACAGGGAGCCAGGGCTCAAGAATGATTCCCATCTACATTAACCTAACATGAATAGAACTAGAGATCTGAATACAATCAGATCATAGATCCATTCCCTGAATCAATCAATACAATTATCGAATGTTCAAAAGACAAAAACCTTAGGTTTTGACCAGATTCAATCATAATTCTCCTACTAAATGAACTTACCGTATTGCCAAGAGCAACAACGTTAAGAAATGTAGAACCCCGCCTTGAAGATGACGATGAGTTTTCATCAACATCTTCATCATTAAGCAAAGCCGCCGCCTGCCGCATCGAATCCGACAGCTGAACCAATTCTTCGATCGCTTCCATTTTTGATCTATCAAATCCAACAAGCTAGAAGTCTGGAAGAGATCGAAGCCGAGCAAACCAAGAACTGAGTAGACAAAGAATCCCAAACAAAGAATCTAGAGGTGGTGGGAAGAAAAAAGTTGTAAGAGATTAAACGAAACCCTAGATATTTGATCGAAAAGAACGATAGATCGAGTCACCAGTAACGATTTTTCTAGGGTTTCTTTGAGATTTGAAAAGGAAAAGGGGTTGAACTTTGAATTGTTGTGCGCGTGAAGAGGGATCAGTATTCAGAGAGAAGAGGATGCAAATGGTGAGAACGAAGAAAGGACACGATCTGCTGCCCTTTACTTGATTGCAGTTTTGTACCATCAAAAATACAAGTAGTTTGAGTTCTTTACACTTTTGACACCAAAGTTTTACTTTTTCTCAATTCTAACATCCATTTTCATTTTTTTTTTGGCATTTAGGTATCTTTTTTACGAATTCTTTTCGACTTGATTCAAATCTTCAACAATAAACCACAAGGGTGGTGCCTGATTGGTTTGAGCTTGACTCCAAAGATCAAAAGTATCAGGAGGTCTCAAGTTAAAATCCAAGGAGGAATAAAAATCCCATTGTGGCCACAGATGTTCAAATGCGGTGACTCCGGGCTATCTGCAAAGCAGGTGGTCGCTCTGGGATTAGTCAGCTTGCATAGCGGGTTGGATATCCAGGTTAATAAAAAAATCTTCAACAATAGAAAATAGAATACGGAGTTGACAAAATTCACATGAGATTGTTGTAACTACAACAATGTAGTACATTCGATGATGATCATAGAAGGTTAATATGTGGATCACAAAACTAGTTGTGGGTGTAAACGTAAAAAGGCTTATATGTGGATCACAAAACTAGTAGTGGTCAAACTACCTTCTGCTCGCTTGTAAAATATTCCACTTTTAAAATCGGAATTGATTTTCTTCCTAGTTTAGAGCAACATAATTAGGCGTTAGTTTTCATTATCAGTTGAGGATTACTTTTTTTATCTGTAATATAAAATCCTTCTCTTATAAATTACGGTTACCTTCAATGGTTCAACGAAAACATAATACTAAGAATTCTATCAGTTTGAAGTCATTTTGTGGATAAACCTCATTCAAGCACATCGATTAATGGTCCCTCATTTTACTAGTTTTAGGGGTTATTTGGCAATTGCGAATGGTTTGGTGCAGAGTGAATAAGAGGCTCGCATGATACAGTGCAAAATGAAATATAATTGTTTGCTAATTGCCTAAGATGAAATCAGGGCACTGAATAGTTAAGGGAGGCACATGATACAAAATCATTCAGAGAATTTTAGAACCATTAAGAGGCAGACTTTGTTTCTGCCAAACAAAATTCACCTCTTAACGATTCAGATGTTGCCTCTTAATGGAACTATTAAGAGGTAAACAAACAACCCCTTAGTCAATATAATAAGGTGCCAAATGTTAAGAACAATTTCTAAGACCAACGGTACAGTAACTAGTAATGTTGTTAAACCAAAGCATAAGCATATGTTATTAAGTATGTATTTTCTATACGAAACTGACCACATATTATCAAAGAAAGGGAGTCGGAAACATTCCTTAAAAAATGAGGCATCCAAAAGAGTATGCTCAAAAGGTACATGTGTGTATGTATATATATATATATATATATGTGTGTGTGTGTGTGTGTGTAATTCTAAAAGAAACGTGATTTGATACAACTCACTATCTGACAAAAGGAATATGTAAAAACAACTGATAATATCAATTTAATGTACTATTCATGTGTCTCAAAATCTCTTAACTGTTCACACAAAAATATACCCTTGTTTTAGGGTTGTCGTATGCTTTCGTTATCAGCCTTCCTCATGGATTATCAAAATGAAAGATGACATCTAGTCACTTTTAATTAGGGATGTTCAAAAAATTGTTGGATAGTAAAAATGTTTGAATCAGATGAACCGCACCAATTTTACGTTTTTGGGTGTTCGGTGTGAAAAATAGTCCAATTGTTGGGTTTGGTCCAGTTTGCAGTTTGGAATTCCAATTTCGTGGTTAAATAGATTGCACTGTATATTTACACACACCATATATAGGTGGAGATTCAAACGAGAACACTTTCATTTTATGAAAATGCTAGAACATTATTATCACACGTGATATTACACATGAAGGGACTTGGTGATGTGCAAACGACTTGGTTCGCGACCTGTTGTGCCGAAGGTCGTTCGTGTCTCTGATTTAGTGTCACATGTAATAAAGTAAAAGTAAGTTGTTCTCATTTGAACTCTCCCTATATTTAGTATTAACTTTTGATATGACTTATAGTGTGGTATAAGTAATAATACCCGTGTAGATTAGTCAATTAATGACAAGGTATTATTAAAATTGCACTTCCAATTTAATTTAGAAAAACGGGGTTACATAGCAACCCCCCCCCCCCCCCCCGAGTTCACTCCCATCAATATCTTTTTGTGCTTTTAAACTTCTTCTTTTTTCTCGCGAGACTACAAGATGTAAAAGAGAAATAAGTCGTTATTGCTTTTTTTTTACTTGTATTTTTTTTACAAAATTACCCGTTGACATCTTCGTCATCATCATCAAACTGATTACAATTCCAATAAATTTCTTGCCAAGTAGGCTGCTTCTGTTTTAGGCTTTGTTTTTGCAACGATGGTGTTTATGTTGAATGATGTCACACTTGTATGTCTAATGGTTATATACATCTTAGTATGGTAAAGTATTAAATGTATTTATTAAATTGATAATAGACGAAACTAGATAATAAACAGAATTAATGTTTATCTAAGGATCGGGTTCTCAACTGGATCACAACTTTGATACATCTCGTCATCAATGAGTTAAACGAGATATTATAATTATATTATACAAAAAAATATCAGATTGTATGAACCGATTAGGAAAATCCAATCAACTCGACACTCTCAACTGATCATCAATGGAATCAATTAGGGTTTTGTTTTATATTTTTTATATCATGTTGAGTCGATTGAGTTTCGAATTATTGCATATTAATGATTTCGCTTAATAATCTTGTGCAATATTTAGTAAAAGGATTTCATTCTAATAATTCACACCAAAAGAAAACTTTTTTTTTACCAAATTGGAACTCAATTTCTTTTCCTTAAACTACAATATGACGCAACAGCATAAAATGCTAAAAATCGATAATACGACACCATAGATTCCAAAAGTGACGACGACATCATAGAACCCTAAAAAAGTCGAGCCTAATCTTTACTGGCTAAATTGGATCACAGTATTACCCTCCAACCGTTAATGTCAATAACATTTGGCGTAATTGCATAAAAGCGAACTTTCGGGCTGGGAAGGAGCCAATAGGAGATCCACTTCAATTTCTCTCCTTTCCCACCTCTCCTACAAAATTATTAGTATTATTGTTCTCTGTGTAGATATTTAAAGACCAACCAAAAGGTACGTAATATCTACTCATTTATTTTGATTGTTGATATCATAAAGTCGGTAATAATGTTGAAGAAATACTGAGACAAAAGGTGGCAAAAAGACAAGATGAATAATAAAACTTGTAATTTCTAAGTACTATGACTTAAACGGGTAGGGTCGGGTTGGATGTATTTAAATTGGTAACAATTTTTTGTCCATATTTTTTTAATTGTATATCTATACTATAGTATAAAGCATTTGACAAAAACTCTTAAAAACAATTTTTTATGCATTAACTACTGTTTATTGATGCATATTACTTAAAATTCAAGATTGCAAGTAAATTGTGTGTAAGTACAATTGATTAAAGTTTCATGTTCGAATTCGTGTAACTAACTACAGATAAACATGATCAAATAAAGAATAAACATCTCATTTTAAATATAAAAAATCTAAAATATAATTACGATAATCATTGAGTTCTAACAAAATACTTAATTATTATCTTTATAAAAAATTATATTATTAAAGAAAAAATGAATTAAAAAAATTACACAAAAAAATTTAAAATTTTTAGTTTGGTACTAATATTAATATATATATTTTAAATTTATACGATATCTTCATATTTATATTTTATTCAAAAATAAAAAAACATTATCGTTTTCTCAAAACCACATAAAACCGTATTATAACATCAACTGAGACAAAAAAACTGAACATTAAAATTGAGATGTATCTCGCTGCATTGCGCGAGTATCCTTCTAGTATGTAATTAATGTACTGATATGATTATAACAACTATATTATTAAAATCATAATCTAATTTGTCTAAATAACATGATTTGGGAGGTTGTAAGCATTATGTACACAAAAAAATCGCCTAACTAGTATATCGCTCTTAAACCTTCTCTTCACTTACGGCCCATACATTCCTTGTCTAAATATAATTCTATAACATCCTATTTTCACCGTTTTTAAATAACGAAGAATTTTAAACAACATTCACAACAATCTATCCCAAGTGCGCTCCTACACTTTTACCTGCAACCAATTATGTTATCAAATGTTCTCTTTACTGTTATTGTTGCCACCAATCATAAACTTGTTTAGGTTGAAAAACCTTAAAGTACGTGGGTGAGCCTAAGGATTAATCAGTTCATGATTTGTACGAAACAAACTTAACATAACATCTGCTATGCCAACAATAAAAATTTGTATAAAAATTAATTGATGTATAATTCTTTCAGATGATTTCGCAACATAAAACTGTTTTAGAGATTGTTTTGTTATTTACCATATTTTGTTGGACCACTTGCATCTACATTTATCATTTTCTACAATTAAAAATACAAAATGTTTATTCTTGCATTTACGTGGACCGAAATGTAACGAAATTCTCCATGAATTTCTAGAAACTATGAATAGTAGTTTATAATGCCAATTTAAAAAGTGAAATTTCATAAAGTCTATGACAATTCATTCCCATTCATAATGCCAATTTATTCCCATTGTTTGCCTCCAAAAAATCAAAACCAATTTGAATGTTTCTTTGTCTCTAAAGCAAAATCAAAACCTTAAATTTGTTGCGTAAGCAATGGACGTTCGGGTCATGAACCAAGAAATGAGTGAAAAGACATAATTTCCCTTTAACGAACATATTTAACAGAGTTAGTAACCAGGGATCATTTTCAAAGCAAAATATGAGACGATAATTATAGTTACTAAAGTCTAGGGACCACTTTCAAAGATTCGTGTAAACCACCAAAATTGTGGTTTACTCTAAGAATTTTAAGACTTCATTGATTAAAAAGGTAATAGCCAATACTTACAAAACACGTGGGTTAGGGCAGAGGGTCCGACCCCAATCCCTGGTT